TCATTAAAACTCATTAAAACTCGTTAAAGTCATTAAATTCATTAAACTCGTTAAACTCGTTAAACGGAAAACGGATTTAAATCCAGAACGAGGGAGAGCAGCGAAGAAAACCCCACAAAATCCCAAAACCTCAGCCCGATTTGGAGTCGTAATCCAGGGATTTTTGGGAATTTTGAGGGATTTTTGGGAACTCTGATTGTGGGATTTTTGGGAATTTTGAGGGATTTTTGGGAACTCTGATTGTGGGATTTTTGAGAACTTTGAGGGATTTTTCCCCATCCAGGGGTTTTTGAGAACTTTGATTGAGGGATTTTTGGGAACTTTGAGGGATTCTTTTCCCCATCCAGGGGTTTTTGGGAACTCCATGGTTCACGGGGAATAAAGTCATAAAATCCTAAATAACCTTGAACTCGTTTCTGTTTGCTGACCCCAAAATCCCACAGGGGCCTTTAAAATCTTCATTGGGAATGGGATCCCCATTGGGAACGGGGTGGGATCCTCATTGGGAATGGGATCCTCACTGGGAATGGGATCTTCACTGGGAATGGGATTGCCATTGGGAACGGGATCTCCATTAGGAATGGGGTGGGATCCTGACAGGAAACCCCACTGGGAACAGGATCCTGACAGGAAACCCCATTGGGAATGGGATCCTGACTGGGAATGGGATCCCCATTGGGAACGGGATCCTCCCTGGAATGGGATCCTCATTGGAAACCCCATTGGGAACGGGATCCTCACTGGGAATGGGATCCTGACCGTGAATGGGATTCTGACTGGAAACCCCATTGGGAATGGGATCCCCATTAGGAATGGGGTGGGATCCTCACTGAGAATGGGATCCTTACTGGGAATGGGATTCTTACTGGGAACGAGATCTTCACTGGGAACAGGATCTCCATTGGGAACGGGATCCTCATTGGTAATGGGATCTCCATTAGGAATGGGATCCCCATGGGGAATGGGATCCTCACTGGGAATAGGAACCCCACTGGGAATGGGATCCTGACTGGGAATAGGAACCCCACTGGGAATGGGATCCTCCCTGGAATGGGATCCTCGTTGGAAACCCCATTGGGAACGGGATCCTCACTGGGAATGGGATCCTGACTGGGAATGGGATTCTGACTGGAAACTCCATTGGGAACGGGATCCCCATTAGGAATGGGGTGGGATCCTCACTGGGAATGGGATTCTCACTGGGAATGGGATCCTCACTGGGAACAGGATGTCCATTGGGAATGGGATCCTGATTGGGAACCCCATTGGGAGTGGGACCCCATTGGAAATGGGATCCCCATGGGGAATGGGATTCTCCTGGGAATGGGACCCCATTGGGAGTGGGATTCCCATGGGGAATGGGATCCTCACTGGGAACGGGATCCTGACTGGGAATGGGATTCTTACTGGGAACGAGATCTTCACTGGGAACAGGATCTCCATTGGGAACAGGATCCTCATTGGTAATGGGATTTCCATTAGGAAAGGGATCCCCATTGGGAATTGGATCCCCACTGGGAATGGGATCCTGACTGGGAACGGGATCTTCACTGGGAATGGGACCCCATTGTTAATGGGATCCTCATTGGGAATGGGATCTCCATTAGGAATGGGATCCCCATTGTTAATGGGATCTCCATTAGGAATGGGATCCCCATTGTTAATGGGATCCCCATTGGGAACAGGATCCCCATTGGGAACGGGATCCCCATTGTTAATGGGATCCCCATTGGTAACGAGATTCCCCACTGGGAACAGGAAGTGTTTTCCATATTTTCTGTGCAAAATTCCCAACCGCGCTGGGGCCGGAGCAGGTGCGGCTGTAGTGTCACCCCAAACCCAGCGCCAGCAGCGCCCCAAATCCGCCCTACAGCCATTTGGGGTTTTTTGAGAGCTTATTTGTCATTTTTATCCCGATTGGGGCCAGAGCCGTCCGGGACCTCAGTGTCTGTGTTATGGGATGGGGGTTCAACATCCCAGGATGGGAATTTGGGGGGTTCAACACACCAGAACGAGGAATTTGGGGGTTCAGCACCCCGGGATGGGGAATTTGTGGGGTTCCACACCCCGGGATAGGGAATTGGGGAGGTTTAAGGGGAAATGGGGAGGGGTCCAGCTGTGTCCCCCCATTCCCAGCTGTGTCATCATTTGGGGGTTCAGCGAAGGCGCGGCCACCCCGAGGATCTGACAGCGTCCTCATGGTGTCCCCAACTGGGTGTGACCATGTCCCCAGGGGAGGGGGCTGTGTCCCCAAATGTGTCCCCAGGGGAGGGGGCTCTGTCCCTACAGGAGGGAATTCTGTCCCCAGGGCAGGGGGCTCAGTGTCCCCAGCCATGTCCATGTCCCCAGCTGGCCGTGTTTGTGTCCCCAGACATGTCCCCAGCCGCGTCCCCAGGGCAAGGGTCTCTGTTCCCAGCCATGTCCATGCCCATGTCCCCAGCCGTGTCCCCAGGGCAGGGGTCTCTGTCCCCAGCCATGTCCATGCCCATGTCCCCAGCCGTGTCCCCAGCCGGCCGTGTCTGTGTCCCCATCCCCGGGCAGGGGTCTCTGTCCCCAGCCGTGTCCATGCCCGTGTTCATGTCCCCAGCTGGTCGTGTCCGTGTCCCCAGCCGTGTCCCCAGCCGTGTCCGTGTCCCCATCCCCTGGGCAGGGGTCTCCGCTGGCCATGTCCATGTCCCCAGCCGTGTCCCCAGCCGTGTCCCCAGCAGTGTCCATGTCCCCATCCCAGGGCAGGGGTCTCCTCCGGCCGCGCTGTCTCCGGGCCCCCTCCCCGTCATTTGGGGGGCAGCGTGGCCGTGTCCGGCTGCAGGCTCCGGGTGACCCTTACCGTGCTCCCGCAGGCCAGGAACGACACCCCCAGCGCGATCAGGCACAGCCACGTCTGCGGGGACATCGGCGGGGACATCAGCGGGACATCAGGGGACAGCAGAGGGACAGCAGGGGCAGCGGGGACAGCAGGGGGACATCAGGGGGACAGCAGGGACAGCGGGGACAGCAGGGACAGCGGGGATATCAGGGGGACAGCAGGGATATCAGCGGGGACAGCAGCGGGGACATCAGCGGGGATATCAGCGGGACACTCATGGGGACAGCAGGGGCAGCGGGGACAGCGGGGACATCAGTGGGGACAGCGGGGACAGCGGGGACACTCAGGGGGTGGCACAGGGACCCGACACCATGCGCCCTCCCCCAGACCCTTCCCCAGCTCTGGACATGTGTGACTGACCCAGGTGTGACTGACTGACCCTCCAGGTGTGACTGACCCTCCAGGTGTGACTGACCAGGTGTGACTGACCCTCCAGGTGTGACTGACCAGGTGTGACTGACCCTCCAGGTGTGACTGACTGACCCAGGTACAGTTTGACTCACCAGGTGTAATTCCCTCACCAGGTGTGTTTCACTCATCAGGTGTGATTGATTCCCTCCCCAGGTGTAATAATTCACTCCCCAGGTGTAATTCCCTCCCCAGGTGTGTTTCACTCACCAGGTGTAATTCCCTCACCAGGTGTAATTCCCTCACCAGGTGTGATTGATTCACTCACTCAGGTACAGTCTCACTCACCAGGTGTGATTGATTCCCTCCCCAGGTGTAATTCCCTCCCCAGGTGTGTTTCACTCACCAGGTACAGTCTGACTCCCCAGGTACAGTTTGACTCACCAGGTGTGATTGATTCACTCACCAGGTGTGACTGATTCACTCACCAGGTGTAATTCCCTCACCAGGTGTAATTCACTCACCAGGTGTGACTGACTGACAAGGTACAGTCTCACTCACCAGGTGTGATTGATTCACTCACCAGGTGTAATAATTCACTCCCCAGGTGTGATTGATTCCCTCACCAGGTACAGTCTGACTCCCCAGGTACAGTCTGACTCACCAGGTACACCACGAAGCCCAGGTAGAGCAGGCTGAGCAGCGCGGTGCCGATGTACAGCCCCAGGTGGTTGAAGGACAGCACGTACTCCACCACGAAATACATATTGATAGCGCAGATGAGCAGGATCAACAGCCCGCCGGCCACCTTCCAGAACCTGGGA